GTGGTTTTAAACGTTTCCACAACAAAGATACCCAGATATTGCACAAGTCTCTCATCACACTGCCCAGTTAGGCAGGCCCAAAAACTTACCTCCACCGTACCAACCCACGTACCTGTCCCAGATGAACTCATAAACCTCAGAGAATAACGTCAATCAATCCGTCAATCATCATTTTGTCATGCAGGAAGAGCCACATGTTTATGTCATATCCAACAAACTCAGCATGGGGTATTACTACCACTCAACTTGCACTGGCCTACAAATACCTCCGGCACTTTCCCCCACCAGCTGATCTAAAATAATGTCAACTTTTAAGCAGAATTATTCTTACACCTTGCTCATACTTAAAGGGTTTACTTGCAGCTCTTCCGAAGGTCAACCGCCCCCGCAGTCCCAGTCCGATATCGGACCTCCGGGTTGATGCCTGATCGCTCAGCTGTTGGTACTCGCCACCCGCATCCAACGTATGCACCACCTCATTGATCGGGAACTGATTTGAGAATTTATCGAGTTTCCTTTTTTAGACAGAAATTCTTCATAAAGATGCCGGTGTTGAACAGCCCGCAGTTCCTTCACACTGAGTTCTCTCCCCAGTGCTCATCATTTCCCTATCCGGGCCCACCGCTTGCCAAGCCATGAGAGAGAACGCGAAAAAATGGAAACTCCCAATATAGCTCACTCACAGGTGTTCAAGATATAATTAACCAAGTATCTCACTCCCAATGACATGTCAGAAATATACTGTAACCTAGGATTTTCCTTTTAACCTCTCAGTCCTGCCTGGGCCAGGCGTCCCTGTTGAACCAGGTTTTTGATATTAGCGATTTGCTGACCCACACAGCCATCACAAGCCTGGTTGATCTGGGTTACAGCTACATGAACATCAAAATGGTATACAATACCGACAGGTTGGTAGGTAAGACACATAGGCAACAGTTAGGCAACTTTATTCCGAAACGTTTCGCCTACACAGTAGCTTCTTCAGTCGATACAGAAAGTAGGCAGGAACGTAGAGATGTGAAGACGAATGTAATCAGTCCATCACCCTTGAAGTCGTAAAATTTGAGGTTGTCAGTCCCTGGGCCCTGGAGAAGTTCAGTTCCATAGTCTTACCTACCAACCTGTCGGTATTGTATTACCTTTTTGATGTTCATTTTGTCAGACACTGCAACACATGGCCTCTTGGTACAGAAAACGCCTTTGAAAAACCCTTTCAAGTGAAAACTGTTGGATCTGAGAGGGACCTGACCTCTCAGTGGCTACATTCCCCAACTACTACTACTACTCTGCACCTCTCCTTCCGACAGTATTTAAGTCTCCGCACTGTCGCTTGATCTTCAGATAGTTCCTGACTATGGAACTAAACTTCTCCAGGCCGAGGGACTGACAACCTCAAATTCTACGACTTCAAGGGTGATGGACTGATTACATCGTCTTCACATCTCTACTGTTCCTGCTACTTTCTGTATTCGACTGAAGAAGCCTACTGTGTAGGCGAAACTTTTCGGAATAAATTTGCCTAACTGTTGCCTATGTGTTTTACCTACCAACTAGGCTACATATCTCTGTCTTGAACCTAACTTACCGAAGATGTAATATTACTCTCTGCCACCCACTAGTAACATCACCCCCCACGCACCACCAACACTCCTACATCACACCACCACCAACCTCCACCTCTCCGGGTCCTAACTCCTACACTCTAGTCACTCTCGGTCACTTGAATGGTAGACAGTAACCATCCGGGGAGAAGCTAAAACCCTATCAACTACTCTGAAGCGATTTTTTTTTTAACTCTGGTATGATTGTTGATATAAGTCTCATAAAGACGTCAGAGGGCAGATAAATCTTATAGACATCTACTTACATTTAGTATAAGCATAACCTCTACTCTTCTATGTGCTGGTAATAATTCTTAAACTTGTGGAGGAAGCGGTATACAATACCCACACGACGAAAAAAAAAACTATAATATAATGCGATCCTTCATTGATAACGTTTCGCCCAAACTTTTGCACTTTATCAAGACCTATGACCGATAAACCGCAGTGTGCGCGCGAAACAAACTTAATTCTACTATTTCCGTTCATCCTAGGAGGACTGGTCTGAGACCGGGCCGCTGGAAGTTAATCCCAGAACCAGAGATAACCCTTCGCTACCCCCCCCCCCCTCCGCCAAACCCCACTACTAAACCCCTCTTCCCCAACAGCTTGACTGTCATACCTTACCATCCCTGCCCTTTTTAAAGTGTCCCTTCTCTGAACCCATTCATCTACAATCCTGTCCAAAACCCGCAACTTCTTGGGTTTTTAAACTTGGGAATTCTTTCGCTTGCCAAACCCCTTTGGGCGGACCTACTTCCAAAATTGAACAAATGTGACACCCCCTTTTACTGCTGCACCTCTCCTCCATACGGGTTTTTAAGCTCCTTTTTCCGCTCATATCCCTAATTTTATTCAGATTTATGGCCCACCACATCGATTTTAAAGGGTTTAAGGGAAATGATTACCTATTCCCCCCCTCCTTTCTTCCCGTTTTTTCCCTTTTTTAAAGGACTGATGAAGCCCCTTGTGGGGACAAAACGTTTCCTTTAATAAGATTCCCAAAAAGTTGCACATGTGTGTAATTTATCAAGTGTCCCGGTTTTTTGTGAACCCTTTTTTATCTACATTAAACCCGTTTTTAACCCCTTGTGTCGTTTATCATTATCAATTTTTATATACCGAAAATTTGTTAAAAAAACACAACATGTACTTTTAAAGGGTTTTAAAAAAATGTTTTTTTCCCTAAGGGCACCTTTTTAATTTCACAAGAGGGGAAAAAAGAGACATTTATGTTGGCCCCAATAGGTTAAAAAAAACTTTGGGGATTGGCTTACAAGCAACGCTCTTCTTGCCCAATAAGGGAAACGAAAAATTTTTGATGCAATTTTTTGCCAAAAAAAAATTTTTGAAATTTAAAGAAAAATATATATATAATATATTAAAATTTTTATAAATAATTTTATTTTATATATTTTATATAATAATACATTGTTTTTTAAATTTTTAAATTGTTGTATGCTATCAAAATATATTTGATAAATTTGGCAAATTAAATTTCGCTTTTTTATAATAACATGGGCAAGAAATTTTAAGGTTCTTGGGTACAAAAATTATTAATTTTTACATTTAAAATAAAAGAAAAACATTTCATCTTTAAATAAGAGAAAATTTTTGAAAGGACTTAGTTTTTAAAAGATTCTTTCTAATTTAAAAAATTTTTACCTATTCGGCAGGGCATTTATATATGTATATATATATAATTTTATATATATATAATATATATATATATTAAATATATATAATATTTTATATTATATATAAAATTTTTATATATATATATAAATAATATATAATAATATATATATTTTTTATATATATAATATCCTAGGGAGTAGGTTGGTAGACAGCAACCCCCCCAGGGGGGTAATCCCTCCCCGCCAAGTGAGTGTTTAAAAAGGAAAAACCTTTAATTGTTTTTTCCCTGATTGGGGGATTGCCTGGTTTCCATTTTTCCGTCCTTTAAAACCCTGCAAGATTTCAGGTACGTCTTTCTACTTTTTACTTAAACTTTGGTCCCCCACTACCAAACGTTTCAAGCCCTTTTATAAACACAAACCCTCCCGCGTTTTTTCTATTTTTTCTTGTTTTTAGTTTTTGTTTATTTCCCTTTTTATTTTCCAGGGGAAGGGAACAGAATTTTTTTCCTCCGTTTTTTTTAAATTTTTATTATAATCAAGGGGGGAAACGTAAACCCGGAAGGGTTATCATGGCCCTGTGTGCCTGGGCAATCTCACACTCTCCCCCCTTTATGGGTCCTGTGACCCGGGCACTTCCCCCAAAACCCCCACTATCATGGCCCCTGTGTCCCCGTCACTCCACACCCCACCCCATGGC